TCTGATCAATCTTATGTTATTCTTCTTTGCATCATCTATCAGCTGCTGGTTTGATTTCTCATGCTCCCTTGGTATTTTTTTGTTTTTCATTTTTTGTTTTTGATACCAGGGATTGAACTCGGGACCTGCTGCTTACAAGGCAGGCGGTGAAACCACTGAGGTAAATCTCCAGCCCCTCCCTTGTTATTTTTAAGAATTTTTTTCTTTTCATCATTGCTAACCATAATCCTATCTTGCATATCTGATATTCTGTCCTCATATTGGCTCATTCTGCTGTGTATACTTTCAGTGAAATTTTTAATCTCCTGAATATCTGTTTGAATCTGTTTTGTGGGTTCCATTTCTTTTCTATGCTGGGTGTTCATGATATCCATCATTTTCCTAAACTCTATTTTTTAAATATTTATCTGCTCTAGAGTTACTAAGCATGTCTTTCATTCTGATCACCATCTCTGTAGTTACCTGAGAAATTATTTCTGAATGATTTTTTCTAAAGCCTCATTCATCTGCTTGGTTACTTCAGAGAGTCCAGGTGGGTGGCTTTTGGATTGTTCCACCTCATTGATCCCTCAGTTTGCTTTTGGTGAGCTGAAAGTCTGGGACTGCATCTTTAAGTGTCTTCTCATTTTCTTTCTTTCTTTTTTAGTTTAATACCTGGGTTGGTGCTTGTAAATTTGCTTATGGTGAGTAGCTTTATTGCTAGTATTTGAACCCTTAGGGCTACTTGTCAGTGGCATCTTCCAGGTATAGTGGCCTTTGGTTTTCAGTCTGTTGCAAGATCCTTTCTCTTCAATTTATTGGGGATGAAAAGTTGCTACCTACTTGGCCCAACCCCTGGTTCTTTGGCATTGGCATTATTTATTTTGAATTTATTATTTTAATATTTATTTTGGCATTATTTCTTAAGACCCTTAGGCAATTACTTAGCACAGTTATGTCACCTTGGCTAAAGTAGTACAATCAACAATAATAATAGCATCAAACACAGCCTAGAAAATGACAAACTATTAATTTGCCACCTATAACCCTATGAACTAGATTTGTGGTTATATAACAAAATCTAAACCAAACCAGAAAATTGGATGCAATGAATAAGCCCTCAATATGGCAATTTTGCCCTCAGGGAAGAAAATTTAAAAGGGGTTATGGGGGAAATTAGAGAAATAGAAGAGGAAGAGATTAGAAGCAAGGCTGGAGATCAAAGAAGATCATGCAAACTTTGGGAAACTGGTGAAAAAGACAGTGTGCTAACCAACCTGACTCCATCTTGAATCTTACCACCATTGTGTGCTTGTGTATGGACAAAGCCCCCAGAACCCACATCCTATTTGGCAGAACACTTGCTGCAGTTGTAAGTTGTTTTTTTGTAGCTCACCTAGGGTGTGAAAGTTCTTTTTGCCCCCCACTAACCTGGCATGATTCTGCTTGTATAAAATTCTGCTTCCTTGCCCCTTGAGCCCTTCCCAAGTGAAAGTATGATTTAAAAGGAGAAACCAAACCACTCCTTGGTGCTGAGAGAACTTTCTGGGCACTAATCCCCTCTTGGTCACCGGCTTAATAAACAGACTCAAATCTGATGCAGAGTGTGGCACATCTCTATTGTTCTAACTCACTCACCCATAACAACAGGAGGGAAAGAGAGAGGGAAGAACTAAAAACAAGAACAGAACAGAATAACAATAAAACTAGAAAGTGTGTTCACACTCATATAAAAACAAGAACAAACAATCAAGAAAAAACAAAATAGGGCCGGGGATTTAGCTCAGTGGTTTCACTGCCTGCTGCGCAAGTGCAAGGACCCAAGTTCAATCCCTGGTACCAAAAAAAAAGAAAAAACAAAACAAAACAAAAACAAAAAAGAAAAAACAGCAGGGCTGGGGATTTAGCTCAGTAGTGCTATACCTGCCTCACAAGGGCAAAGTCCTGAATTTGATCACTGGTACCACACACACAAACACGCAGAAGAAAATAAGAGAAAAAAAAAGTCCACTTCAAGGCATGTCTCTGCTGCCACTGATAGACAACATGGCCAGACAGAGCCCAGGTCCAGGTTAATTAATCCCAGCAAGCCAGACATAGCTTTATGGCAGGGTAGTGGATAATCCTAGCAAGCCTACACCATCAGTTCCACTGAAGCTCAGGTTGATTTCTGGCTGTGAGGATGGAACCAGATTTATTGAGCATGCAACAGTCTGTGTGCTTCCTGTTGCCCTAAACTCGGCTCTCTGCCAGCTTGAATTTGGCTCCCTGACCTCTTGCTGACTTGAACTTGAACTTGAACTCACCGATGCTGGGAGCCACTAGATGGAGCCAGCCCACAGCTGTTCTGAGTTCTGAGCTTGGTTGACCCCTCATCAAGATGGCTACCATCCAATCACCCTCTCCTGGGGGATGTCTGAACCCAAATAACACACCAGCCACTGCAGTCCATTCTACTGGTGCATTTCTCTGTGGAGGCCTCTGGGGTTGCCAGCACTCACCATGCATCTGCAGGTTCAAGCCACCCCTCCCATGCAGTGAGTCAGGGCTCAGGGAGAAAGCGTCGCTTGCTACTTCCTTCTTCTTTGTTGAAGTTTCTCTCTTTGTTCTCTCCGCCTTCACTTCTTCCTTCAGATCCTTCCTGGGACCCAGGGACCCACTTCCTTCCTTCTTCTCTTCCTCATGTTGCTATGATTTCAGTGTCTGGACACCAAATCTCAGAGAGGCTCTTTTTCTGCTGCTATCTTCCCCGAAGTCCCTATTTGTTGGTTTTGAGCCAGTATGCAATTGAGAGATTCTAGTTTAAGCTGGGCATGGTGGTGTATGCCTGTAATCCCAGTTAGTTGGGAGGCTGAGGCAGGAAGATTGCAAGTTCCAGGCCAGACTGGGCAACTTAGGGAGAACCTTTCTCAAAATAAAATTTTTAAAAGAGGTGAGGAATGGAGTTTGGGTAGAGAGCTTGTCCAGCATGTGTGAGGCTCTGAATTCAACAGCTTAATGCAAAAGTCACTGAAAATTGAGAGTCCTCAGACATCACCTTCCCCATGATCAAGCTCTGTGAGTGTATGTCTAGTTATTCATAGAGACGATAAGCTCAGCAACAAGAAGGCGCTTGCTCTGAGCAGATTGCTGTGGAGGAGGAGGGTCTGATTCTGCCTGAAAAAGGGTAACATTCAAATTGCTTCTAAAAAACAAGCAAGCATTTTTGTTTTGTTTGGTGTTGTGCTGAAGACTGAACTCAGGGCCTCACATATGCTAAAGCATGTGCTCTACCACTGAGCTACACCCCCAGGCTAGAAGCAGGAGTTTTTGAGGCAGGAAACTAAGAGCAGACATCAAAGGCATGGTGGGGGCTGGGTAGAGAGTGAAGGTGGGGGAGGAGACACACAGCAGCCTCCCAGCCGGTTTGTCCATCCTCATCTCCTGAGGTAACCACAGAAATGAGTGTGTCCTGAGCAAAGGGGACAACTTACCAGGTTCAAACGGGTTTCCAAAATTTGGATCTGTTTTTGCAGTTTCCGGGGGTTACTGGCCTCCTGCATTTTTATGAAGATTTGTTTTTGGGTTTTGATTTTTTTTTCCATTTGAAAAATCTGAAAAAGAGGGCACCCAGCTGTGTTAATATCTGCAGGGATACAAATTCTACAGTTCACCCCCTGATGTGGGCTAAAGCAAAATCTGTAGTAGGTTTTCTTGTCTTGTAAAGAGAAGTGTGATTTATCTCTTTGGTGCCTGTTCAATTGAACTTAATCTTAGACAATTTAGGGTAAAATGAGGCAATTTTGAGTTCTGCTTCTCACCTGTGGCCATGAATTTTATCACCTGCAGATACAAGTTCGGCCTCCCTAAGCCCTGCTTTCTAGCAGACAGGACATTGTCCTCCAAGGGACTTTCTGTAACCGTGCACAAGTGCTGTTAGGTGCTTGCAATGACTGGGGTGCTTCTGGCATTTAATGGTTGGGTCACCAAATGCCACACACCTTGCAGTGTTTGGGACAGCACCAGACATCCAAGACTTGTCCCCCAGCCCTTGTAACCACCCAGTTCCCATCAGGGCATTGCATAAGTGAAAAAAAATTATGCTTTTCTGTACCTGTAACCAAACTGTTTTGTATATGTGAATACATTGCTTTTCATTCAGTTCTAATAAACACTGAATTATCCAGTGATCGAGTCACTGCATAAATCAAGAGAAAATTGTTCTTTGTTTGGACCTTCACCAAGAGTTAGTCACCATTGTGGAAATTTTGCTACCAGCACTCTCCAGATCCAGTTTTGAGTCAGGGATACACAAGCCTGAATCAGTCTTCAGTGTGGGGTCTGCAAACTACATCTATGGCCCAATCTGGCTCATTGCTTATTTTTATAAATAAAGTTTTATTGGAACACAGCTCTGCCCATTCATTTACATATTGTGTATGGCCTCAGACTTCACACTACACAGGTGAAGTTAAGTTGTTTCCTTGCGGACCATGTGGCTCACAAAGCCTAAATATCTACCATCTGGTCCTCTGCAGACACTATTTACTGACTTTGCTGTAGACCAGAACATTCACATGTCAAAATAAATTTTATTGTTCTATAAATGGATTTCCTTAAATTTCTCATTTTTATTATACTTAGGCCATCATATTGAATTTATCTTTTTTATTTTTTGGTACTGGGGATCGAACTTGGGACCTTGCGGTTGCAAGGCAGGCAGTGGAACCACGGAGCTAAATTCCCAGCCCTATCATATTGATTTTAAAGAATAAGGGCAAAAGGGCCAGGGATTTAGCTCAGTGGCACTGCGCCTGCCTCACAAGCACAAGATCATGAATTTGATCCCCAGTACCCTCCCCCCAAAAAAGAATAAGGGCAAAGAACTATGCCATCTATGAATTGCATTTTAGGATTGTAACAGGGTATTTATTTAGTGTTAAAAAGGTGATGCTTGCTGATGATGTTTAATAAAAGAAGTCAGACAGAAGAGCACATCCGGAAGAGGACATTTACATACAGCTCATTAGGTAGGCAAAACAAACCCAGGATGCTAGATAGGAGGATGGGGACTCCTTGAGGGGCGTTAGAGGAAAGGGACCAAGGGAGCCCTTGGGTTCTAGAATGACCTACATCCTTCTCTGGGTACTGAAATAAAAGTTCATTGACTACCACTTGTAAGATGCTTGTACTTGACTGTGTATACTTAATAACTCAGTGAGGGGAGGGAAACAGAAAGAAAGGAAAAGAAATGGGCATTGGAGGTGGTAGGTTTAAGAGCCACCATCCTCGAGGGATTTAACAATGGCCTTTGCATTGGGAGGCCACTTCCTGCTGGGAAGTTCAGTGTTCACAGATTCAAAGTCTCTGGGTGAAAGCTGAGGCAAGGCCATTAGATCTGGAGAGATCGAGGACCCTGGTGGCCCCAGAGAAAGGAGACTCGGTGGAGAATATGTTGCTCCACTGGGGGTGGAAGTGGAGATCACACCTCCCATGAAAAGAAACAGAGCAGGGGCTGGGGATTTAGCTCAGTGGTACCGCCTGCCTCGAAAG